CTCACCGGCTAAAGCCTAATTTTGATTGAACTGAATGTGAAGAATCTATCCAGGGCTACTAATAAAAAAGAAAAGTCATATTTTCGATTATTGCCTATGTGAGTAGGCTTACATTGAATTGTTACCAATTTCTAGGTTATCTTAGGTGACAAGTAAGGGAGCCTATTCTTAAATTTTATTTCCTAGGTAAAGAATATGTGATAGTCGAGGCCTAACGAGAGTCGTTCTCAACAGAGTGGCTTGTCACTATTTTTGGGTCATCATAGAGTGTTATCTAATTAGGGTGGCCTATCTTTGATTTTTGCTCAAAGAGGAGGCCTATTTTTTCATGCTAATTAATAGGGGAAATCTATCTCATTGTGCTCCCTAGTGAGTGACTGAGGTTTTGTATTGATAATCAACCGATGGACAGTGGCAGTTGGGGGCATTTTTTATGTGACTGTTCACGGAGGAAACCTCACTAAGTTCTGTCCTCAAAGGAAACCTACTGTATTTTCCTCTCCATTGGGGAGGTTTACCTTGGAATAGTAACCACTTCGGAATTGCTTCTATTAAATAACTGGGTTTCTACCAACAGGTGAATTATTATTATTATTATAATCAAGGGGAAGCGCTAAACCCGGAAGATTATACAGCGCCTGGGGGGGGGATGTGGAAGGTATTCAGGCTTAATTTGGGGAACTGGAGCACAGATCCAATTCCCTAAATCAAGAGCCCCTCACCAACATCAAGGAACCTTCCTTGAGGGGACCAACAGGTGAAGCCTCTCAGGAATACGTTCCATTGGGAATTTCTGTTTTGGGTTATTATCCACTGAGGGAAGTCTGTCATATTATAAATCAACTAGGAAGGACTATCATTAGTTACTGCAGTAATGAAGGCATGTTTGGGGGTATATATCTACTCTAATACGTCTGTCAGGGGTGCCCACCCACTAGGAAAGGCCTATCATAAGTTACCATATAGTGGTTTAGATATTTAGGAAGCTACCCATTGGCGAGGCTATTCTTGGATTACCATCCACTTGGAAGGCCATTCATGAATTGCCACCCACTGGAAGGGTCCACACTTCGAGTACTATTTGCAGGATTCTTGGGTTGTTATTCGCTGGAGATGACCATTTCTGGATTAATACCAACTGGGAAAGATCTGTGACGGGATGATAACAACTCAGGAAAGCCTTTAATGGGTTGCTAACAAGTCAAGAAGACTTACGTAATGGGTTGCTACCTACTGGAGAATTTGCATCATAGGATGTTACCAAGTGAAAAAGGCCTATAATGAATTTTTACAATGTTAGGTAGATTCTGGAATGCTAATCTACCTCAACGGTTAATATTGGTTTGCTATTATCTTATGGACGTCTATTTATTAATGCTATCTTTAGTATGATACTATGAACAAAGGCGATCTTTATGATCTTTAAATTACCTATTTAAAGAAGGTGCCTACTGAAGGTGGGCTATCTTGATGGTAATCACCATATGAGGCCCTTGCTGTGGGTGTTACCTATTTGGTGCTGCACACCAAATGATGCTTTCGTTAGTATGCTACCTACCTACTGGATGAGTATTATCTTGGGTGTTACCTACCATGAGGGGGAGACAATGGATAGTCCCTAAGCTCTATGATAAACATACCAGTGGATGCTCCCCATAGAAAAGATATAGTAAGGCTGGTGGATAAGACACATAGGCAACATTTAGGCAACTTTATTCCGAAACGTTTCGCCTACACGTAGGCTTCTTCAGTCGAGTACAGAAAGTAGGCTGGAGCAGTAGAGACGTGAAGACGATGCAATCAGTCCATCACCCTTAAAGTCGTAGATTTGAGGTTATCAGTCCCTCAGCCTGGAGAAGTTCTGTTCCAAAGTCTGGAACTAACTGAAGATCAAGCGACAGTGTTGAGACTTAAATACTGTCGGAAGGAGAGGTGCAGAGTAGTAGTGGTGAGAATGTAGCCACTGAGAGGTCATGTCCCTCTCAGATCAAACAATTCTCACTTGAAAAAGTTGTCCAAGGTGTTTTCTCTTCTGTACCAAGATGCCATTGTGTTGCAGTGTCTGACAGAGTGATTATCGAATGGTATACAATACCGACAGGTTGGTGGAAAAGACACATAGGCAACATTTAGGCAACTTTATTCCGAAACGTTTCGCCTACACAGTAGGCTTCTTCAGTCGAGTACAGAAAGTAGGCAGGAGCAGTAGAGATGTGAAGACGATGCAATCAGTCCATCACTCCTGCCTACTTTCTGTACTCGACTGAAGAAGCCTACTGTGTAGGCGAAACGTTTCGGAATAAAGTTGCCTAAATGTTGCCTAAGTGTCTTATCCACCAACCTGTCGGTATTGTATTGAATGGAAAAAAAAACTATAATTTGTTACCACCGTTTGGCCAATTTTGGCAATTTACTCACTGGTGGAGGTTAATCTGGAAATACTGCTCTCAGAGGAATGACTCTCCTCCGCTCCTCACTTATAAGAGAGGCATGTTTTGGTATCTAATAAACAAAACATTTCTTTGGTTGCTACTCATTGAGGAGTGCCTATGATAAAGAGAAAAAAATTGTAGCTACATGGAACATTTATTGACTAAATTTCGCCTACACAATGGTCTTGATCAGTTCACAAACAGATCACCGTTTTGCAGCATGATAAAGCACATTGCCTGAGTGAAACGGCATCAATATAGATTCCATATAACCAAACTGTCTTTACCGTTGTGTCGGTATATCATACCATTACCTACGAGGTGCAACTGTCTTGATAACTACCCACTCAAGAAGGCCGACGTGAAGGTGCTTTCTACTCTAGGAGACTTATCTTTGGTCCATTTCCAAAATGGAATGTCTAGACTGCTATCAGTGGGAGGGCATATTTTATGGGATGTTGTTTATTGCGGAAAACTTGTTTAGGAACTCAGTTTACTGGTAAAACCAATCTTAAATTGTTTCATGTCAACTGATGCCTGATGTTGGTAGATTTCCACCAGGAAAAACCGCCCTATGTTACTGGCATCTCAAGGAGACCTATTTATGGTTAACTGCAATTGAGACATATATTAACATGCTCTCACTGTGAGTTGTCTGTATTTGACTATTGCATAATGACTATGATTAACTTGGAGTGATACACAAATAACCTGCACATAGGAGAGAGAAAGGCTTATGACAACGTTTCGGTTCGTCCTGGATCATTCACAAGTCACAGTGTGACTCGTGAATGTGCAGGTAATTTATGTATTGTTCCAGTCACGGTATTGTGCCTTTTTGCTCTTTAACTTGAAGTACTACCTACAAGAAAATGGCCAATCTTGGGAGCGTACTTTGGGAATCTTTGTACAGTGGAAAGTTTATCATGGTCTGCAACTCAGTGAGGGAGGACTAGTTTTGGAATCTATATACTGAGGAATGCGTATCATGGGTTGGTAGCAAGTGAATATGTGGTTTTGGTCGCTTCCCAGTGGGGAAGGCGTAGTATGAGTACGTACTCACTTGAGGAGGTTTTTCTCGGATGCTGTAAACTGGGGATTGTTATCTTGTTTTGCTGTTCAAGTGGTCAGACCTGCAGTGGACTAAATCCAAAGAAGGAGGCCTGTATTAGGTTGTTACCCAGGTGGGAAGGCCTATCATATATTGGTACCCACTGGCTGAGACATAACATCACATTTTGCTAACAGGGCTAGGCTTACCTTAGGCCTTTATCTTCTAGGTGAAGTCTGTCTCGTGTTATTACCCTAAAGGGCAAGTCTTTATTGAGTTACTTACCAAAAAAGGATAATATAATTATCTCAAGTAGTTACAAGTTGGTGGAAGTTTATCATGGGTTGTTTTCCATTATAGTGAAGCCATTGTCGGATTACTAGTGACAGGAGTAAACCTATTTATTGCTGGTCCTAATAAGGAAGGAATTTTCCAAGGTGCTACCTACAGGAAACATCGTACCGTTGTATAATTACCATAGAGGAAGGTTATCTGGGATTGGGACACCTGAAAGACCTTTTTCAATCAGTCTCAACTGCGGGTAGCCTACGCTCTGCTGATACTTACAAAAGGAGGCCAATCTTAGGCTGTTACCAAGCATAAACTATCGGCTTCTGTCCAGTGAGGAGGTAAACCTAGAATTGTTAACTTTAGTGTGGATTATTTTGTTTCTATTTCATGGCAGAGGCTAATTTTTTGGGGGGACTACATAATCAAAAGGAAGTTTATCCTGGGTGGCTACCCAGTAAGAGGGCCTATCATTGGTTGGTATTCAATAAGGTCAGGCTAGGTAACACTGATACCCAGTGGCAGGTCTATATTGAATTTTTACTCACTGTAGGAGCCCTAACTTTGGTTGCTACTTGCTGAAAGAGTCCTGTATTTGGTTGTCATTTTTTACTAGATGTTTTTATTAAAAGTTCTCTGTTTTGTTGCTATTAACTTGAGAAGATCTATATTAAGTTGATAAAGACGACCTACATTTCACTAGTACTTATTCGGAGACGAAATTTTAGAATGTTATCTTCAACGATAAATGAGAAGCTTGTTTATAGGAGATATCTCCAGGAGGACCTGTCTTGGAAAACAATACAATGAGTGTGTCTTATGCTGCGCTACTACCTGCTGAATGTTACCTAAATATAACGGCAGCCTACTTGGGTTGGTTTACCCTCAGTTCCTAACCTGGGTGGGAGATCACCCCAGTGTTTCCACCTATTGAGACAATCCTACTTTAAGTTGCTACCTGTTTCAGAAGGACATATTTGACATGTGTCTAACTAGCTGAGACCTGACAATTGTATGCTGGGGTAGGTCTTTCTTGTGTTACTTATCACTCTGAAAATCCTCCCCTGTGTTTCTTCCAAATGTGAGAAATTTACTGAAGGTGGCTATCGAAACCATCATTAGATTACTGAGGGAAGCCTGTCAAGATTTGATAAACAATGACAGAAATCCGATCTTGGATGCTGTCCATTAAATGTGGCCTGTCTAGAGATACTGTCATAGTGAGTTACCTGCTGGAAGGAGAGAACCACGGACGGGTACTGCCTGCTGGGTTATAGAGGCAATCAGACGGAGGATGACGGTCTCCTGCTGGCTGCGTGTGAAAGGCTGCAGCCGGGACACGAAGCGGATCAAGTACTCAAGCGTGTAGCGCACCTCCTGCGATGCAAGGAATCAAAACACCTTAATGCTTAACACCAGGAACCCATATAAACTGTAAGAGATGAAAGCAATTGACAAAAGTAATGTATATAGCTCAATGGAAGTCAGTTGACGTGCGTTAGGCTATAACTAACAGAAAAGAGTGAGGGAGCCAGTGTATATACATTGGCTCCCTCAATCTTTTCTGTTAGTGTGACGTTGTAAATAGTCCAATTCAGACCGAAACGTCGTCCTAAGCTTCTCTCCCCTATGTGTGGGTTATTTGTGTATTGTTCCATCACGGTATTGTGCCCTAGATGAAAGGCAGCTGGCATGAGTAAAGTTATATATAGATCATAAGCAGTTATTGTGATGGAGAGAAGTTAGCATAAGTAAAGTTATTACTAGATGGAAGGCAATTGACTTATATTATAATTACCTGTAGATGGGAGACATTTAACATGAGTAAAGTCATAATTTAATAGAATGCAGATAGGAGGAGTAATGTAACTAGATGAAAAGTAGTTAGCATGACTAAAGTTATAACTAGATGGAAGGTAGTTGGCATAAATAAAACAGTAACTAGATGGTAGCCAGACGACATAAGTTTAAGATATAACTTGATGAAAGTCAGCTAGCCAGAGCAAAGCTATAACAGGCAAGAAGGCAGCTGAAGTGAGGGAGATCATTCACAGAGGAATGCTCTAGAGAAAAGAGAACATAATATCTATTTCTTGAAGTTCATGCAATCTGCAGACACACAGAAGCCTTAATATCAGTTATTGTATTCCTATTGTAGCAGCCGAGATGTAGGGGTTATGTAGCACCATGGGAACCGGATGCAAAGACGTTTGATCCGAGTAACACGAGGGAAGCTTTGGTTCATTGGATTAACATCCAGTCGCCTTTGTCGGTGTGTCTTCCTAGAAGAACGGTATTTTCAGGCAAATTATTGTGCGAGAAGTTAGTATTGTCTAGTACTGAAAATGCATTTATGGTAACATGCTTCAGGAATCATTTGATAAAATCATACAGACTGCCGATACAGAGATGGAGGATAGCATGAGTTAACGGTATGAGTTTGAATTTGTGCAGGTGGAAGTGTAGAACTGGACGTGTGGAACTGGACGTGTGGAACTGGACGTGTGGAACTGGACGTGTGGAACTGGACGTGTGGAACTGGACGTGTGGAGGTGGACATGTTGAGGTGAACATGTTGTGGTGGACATATTAAGATGGACATGCGGATATACGACGTAATGACAGTAGTTTGTTGGACTACGTATTGGTAGATAAAAGACTGTTGGTAGAGTTCAGGATGTACGTGTTTATTGAGAGGCCACAGATATATCAGATCACTTTTTAGTTGTAGCTGCAAGTAAGAGAGAGGTGAAGGTTTATAAACTAAAGGAGGCAGTTAGGGTAAGAAATAAAAAACTATTGGAAAATAGATGGGCTAGTGAGACTATAGGCAATAGGGTTGAAAATGCATGGTGTAAGTTGAAGAATGTAATGCTAGTGTTCAGCAGAAGTTTGTGGTTACAGGAAAGTGGATGCGGGAGGGAAGAAGAGCGATTGGTGGAATGATGACGTAAAGAAAAGCTTAGAGGGAGGGGGTCAAGGAGGTTTTGTGTGCTAGGGGCCTGGACTTCCAGCAAGCGTGCGTGAACGTTTTAGATAGGAGCGAATGGAGACAAATGGTTTTTAGGACTTGACGTGCAGTTGGAGTGTAAGCAAGGTAACATTTATGAAGGGATTCAGGGAAACCGGCAGGCCGGACTTGAGTCCTAGAGATGGGAAGTACAGTGCGTGTACTCTAAAGGAGGGGTTATGCAGAGCATTTTTGGCAACTTGGAAGAGGATGCAGAGGGTGTGTTTTTCTGGGGCTGGGATGGAGGATACTGTTAGCCGTCTGGACAACATTATTAGAGCTAATGGGAACAATCCTATTATCTGTCTCAGTGCTGGAGGCAACGATGTTGGCAGACGTGGGAGTGAGGACCTGTAATAGTTGTAAAGATAGTGGAGTAGAAGGAAGGAGCGAAGAGGGAGAGGAGAAGAGAGAGTTTCTAAAAACACATTCTACAAATAGCTGTAGCACTAGAAACAAGATGGATGAGTTGAGATTAGTTGCAAGTGAGGGTAACATGTATTTGCCATAACTGATACATGGTTTAATACGGAAGATTGAGACACATCTGCTGAAAGTCACATTCAGGATTTTAAAATATTCCATGTTGATAGGAGTAACAGGAAGAGAGGTGGGGTGGCACTGTATGTTAGACAATACTTAAATTTCTGCATAAAAGCAGGTATTGAGACTAAAAGAACATACACAGAGTCTAGGAAGAATTTTCAGAAGGGGATGAAAAATTAATTTTAGGAGTGATTTATCGTCCCCCAAACTTGGATAGGGACCAAGGGAGACTACTTTGGGAAGAAATTGTTAAAGACACAAGACACGATAAGTAGTAATTCTAAGAGACTGTAACTTTAGTCACATTAATTGGAATTCAGTATCTGAGAATCTTGAGTCAAACGACTTCCTGGAAGTAGTTCAAGACTTTTTTTTTGTTTTGTTTTGTAGCAGTTTGTGACAGAACAAACGAGGGGAAATAGCCTTCTTGATTTGGTTCTGTCTAACAAGGACACCCTTGTTAATAATCTAGAGCGTACAGAGGAACTAGGTGAAAGCGACAACAAATCAATTACCTTTAGTGCAGATTGTAAATATGATAATAAGGATAATTCAGTAACAGTCCGAGATTTTCTCTTAGCAGACCACAATAGGTTTAGAGAATGCTTATCATCTATGGGCTGAGATATCGAAGAGAACAAAATATCAGTATGACAGATTTCTAAACACTATACACGCTGTACAAAGAACATTTATTCCATTCAGAGAAATGAGATCGAATAGAAATAGACGAAGTATACGAACAAAAGGCTCAAACATCTTGTAGGCGAGGGTCATCACTTGGATCAATATACACACATTAAGAGGGAGGTTAAGAAAGGGATAAGAAATGCTAAACGGGACTACGAAATTAAATAGGCAAATGATTCGAAAACTAACCCAAAAGGCTTTTTCCAGGAATACAGAACGAAGGTTAGAGAAAGTTAGGTCCTCTTAAAACTAATTCAGGACAGCTTACTGATAAAAAGAATGAAATGTGCTCTATTTTTAATAATTATTCCCTTTCGGATTTCACACAACGATATTCCAACAGTAAATTTTTGTAGTGGGCCCGAAGAAAATAAATTATGTAATACCACAGTCACTTTGGATATGGTAATCAAACAGCTAGACCGATTAAAGCAAAATAGAACTTTGTTAACCATAACTAACATTTTTAATATATCTCTACAAGCAAGTATAGTGTCGGATTAATGGAAGATGGCTAATGTTATTCCATTTTTTAAAGTAAGGGATAAGTCATTATCATCAAATTACCGCCCAATAAGCCTGATCTCAATTGTAGGCAAATTACTAGAGTCAGTTATAGCCGATATTATAAGAGGTCATCTTGATAAGCATAACTTGATCTATGATACTCAGCATGGATCCACGAGGGGCCGTTCCTACATAACCAATTTACTAACTTTCTTTGATTTTAGTAAAACATTTGAGAGAGTACCACACAAAAGACTGTTAAACAAAGTGACAGCAAGGTCCTGTCATGGATCGAGCCATAGCTCACCAACAGGAAGCGGAGAGTGTGTAAAAATGGGGTAAAATCTGAGTGGGGATCTGTAACAAGTGGTGTTTCACAGGGTTCAGTTTTAAGCCCATTGCTTTTCATAATACACATTAATGAACTTGAGGGAATAACTAGCGATAATGAGCAAATTCACTGATGACACAAAAATAGACAGGATAGTTGATTCAGAGGAAGATGTCACTGAACTTCAGGAGGATTTAGACAAACTCATATCGTGGTCAGAAAAGCTGCAGATGCAGTTCAGTGTAGATATATGCAAAGTCCTGAAGCTCGGGAATGTACATAATCCCACTACTTACCAACTAAATAATGCTGAACTTGACAATACAGAATGTGAAAAGAACTTGGGAGTTATGGAAGGCAGCAACCTGAAGCCAAGACAGCAATATCTATCATACGTAATACGCCAAGAGTGATGGACTGATTACATCGTCTTCACATCTCTACTGCTCCTGCCAACTGTCTTTCTACTGAAGAAGCCTACTGTGTAGGCGAAACGTTTCGGAATAGAGATGCCTAACTGTTCCTTATGTGTTTTATTTACCATCCTGTCGGTATTGTATAATCATTCTGATATTCATTGAGATTACTGGGATTTATATCAAGAATTATAAGCAACAGGAGTCCAGAGGTCATATTACACATCTACACGTCATTATTAAGGCTTCACTTAGATCATGCAGCTCAGTTCTGAGCTCCGTATTACAGAATGGCTATAAATTCGTTAGAAAACATTTAGCGAAGAATGAAAAAAAATAATCCATCACATAAGGAATCTTCCTTACAAAGAAAGACTGAAATCCCTTAAATTACATTCTCGTGTAATATGAATAATGAGGGGAGACATGATTGAAGTCTATGAATGGAAGATGGGCATTAACAAAAGGGATATAAATAGGACCCTGAGAATATCCATCCAAGAAGGAACCCGAAATAATGGATTGAAATTGGATAAGTTTAGATTCAGAAAGAATATAGGAAAGTATTGATTTGGAAATAGAATAGTCGATGAGTGGAACAGTTTACCTATTTGGGTAGCTTCAAATTTAGGTAAGTTAGATAAATACAATGAGTGAGAGGGGTTTGATTTAAGTGCGACTTGCACATGAATTAATACGGTTATTAAAGCTCTGGTGGCCTGGTGGCTAAAGCTCTCGCTTCACACGGCGAGTGTCTGGGTTCGATTCCCAGCCAGGGTAGAAACATTGGGTGCGTTTCTTTACACCTATTCTCTCTCTTCACCCATCAGTAAAATGGGTACCTGGGTGTTAGTCGACTGGTGTGAGTCGTATCCTGGGACAAAATTACCTAATTTGCCCGAAATGATCAGCGTAACAAGCGGCTTTCTATATAGTAGTATTTCATTGTTGTCAGCGAGGCTTATATACCTTGTACATGTACTTGTAGTAAATAAAGATATTATTATATTATGTTAATATTATTTATTCCTTGGTAGCATTGACAATTGGTCGGGCAACCATTTTTCTTAATGGGTGTAGGTTTAAGGAGGAGGAACTGCCAGTAGGCCTGCTGCCGTGTTCCTTCCTTCTTATGTTTTTTTTTCTAAGACGGATGAAGATGGATTGGTGGAAATGGTCTGGTGGAGGCAGAAGGATGGAGTTGAAAGGAAGTAAGTGCACAGATGGAGGTGAATGGGTAGAGGTGCACAAGCTGTGGTTAATGGTTGGAGGTGGATGGTCGGAGGTGGAGAGATGGAGGTAAATGGGTGGTGGTGATGTATGTAGACGGCGGTGTGTAAATTTCCTGAGACCAAAAAGTTCCACCGTTGGGATTCATTTGTAGACAAGTTGATGCGGCAGTCCCCTGAACCCTTAACATCCACCCAGACAACCCATATTAGCTTGAAGATCGAAAGATAAATAGATAGATTTACGTCTTAAGAATTAATTAGTTAGGGTTAAGTGGTTAGTAACTAATATCAGAATTGTTAACGTAGCCTTGGACCGTAATAGTAGGTTATATTAAGTAATGAGACTAGGAAAATTGTGGTAGACAGCATCTCGTACAAGCAAAGTTATTTCGGAGCTTGCTGGACGCTAGCCCATTCTTCTGACACGAATACCGGTGGCGACCAGTGTTTCACGCGGCTTACAAAATACTGTCTGGCAGTAAACAATGTTAATTTTAGATTTCACGTACACAAGACCCGTTTGTGACGCTGATTCCCATATTTTATCCATTGTTAGGTGGCCATTCAATACTGGTTAAAACACGATAATAGTTAACTTGCGGATAGGGGCGGGCACAGGCCCATCACATTGTGAGTTGGAGTTCTGAGTAACTGCCCCCTAAGTCTTAGACCAGAAGCTGGTATCCCCCTGTGTACATAAATATTGGTTAGGGAATACCCATTGAATTCAAGGACCCCTCAAGGTGTAGACCAGGGATACTGACACCATTTAAATATTTGCAGGAATCAGTCCTGTGCACGTGGCGTCTTGAAGTGAGCGAGAGGCCATAGAAATCTAGATTGCTTGGGTAAAATTAGGAAAGTTCTAGTTAACATAGTCTCCACAGCTAAGTCTCTTCTGGTTTGTGCATACAGATAGAAATTTCCTGGAAGTTAGATTAATTCTCATAAGGAAGTGTTCTTTAAGGGTCATTGTGAGAACGGGACTCAAGGAGTCTTGTAATGATCGTGTCAACAGCTATTGCCAGTGTGGGCATCTCACAACTTCTCACAGGTGGTGAACGGGTGAAAATGAATGGGTGTAGATGTATGGAGGTGGATAAGTGGAGATGGATACATGAAGGTGGACAGGTGGAAGGGGACGAATGGAAATGGATTGGTGGAGGTGGACGCTACTATGACGGCTACCAACCAGTTACAAGACACCTTGATGCATTAATTTCGTACTACGTATATTTTATTATTATCGAGTTTCCAAAGAAAATTAACAAATAACAACAGTGACTGTAAACTGTAGTAAAATAATAAAATATTGGTTAGTTATCATACACTCCGCTTCGTAAAGAAAATACATTAGTTTACCCCTGAGCGATACTATTACAGAGAACGAATATTATTATATGAGGAATAACTATTCTCTTTTTTGTTGTTGTTATCAAGTAAGCAGTTTTTCTAAGGTGTAAGTTTATATAAGTACAGGTACACATAAATACAATTACACAAATTAAGATGTGTAAATTACCTAGGATAACCCATAAGAACCATATAAAGGTGTTATGACACTTGTTAAGGGTTTTTGTTCCAAAGAACTGGAGCTATCCAATCTTTCTATGGATTGAGTCATTGCCTCCGTCTCTCCAAAGCCACTTTGTAACCCCCTACTGTTTTGGCTTCCCCTCCCTCCATTCTAAAATAAAAGAAAAAGGTAAATATTGGAGAGTGGTGATTAAATTGCAATGCAGAAAAAAAACTATGTACAGGTGTGTACTCACATATTTGTGGTTGCAGGGGTCGACACATAGCTCCTGGCCCCGCCTCTTCACTGATCACTACTAGGTCCTATCTCTTTCTATTATGTGAGCTTTATCATACCTTTATCATACATTGAAGTCACCCACAATTAGTAGATTTGCTCTGCCCGCTTGGGCTCGTCTGGCCACCTCAGCCAGTGTGTTAAACATTGCTCTGTTGCTCTCATCATATTCTTGTCTTGGCTTCCTTCTATTATGTGTGGGGTTATACATCACTGTAATCATAAACTCTTCACATCTGCCGCCTTCTTGGAGCTACGTGGATTTCTAAAGAATCTGTCGATCGAACCTCCTGTTGGTGACGCGTTCACGTTCGTTGGAGCTCTCATGGGATGAAACATGTCACTTAAAATCCAGTTTTTGGATTTTAAGTGACATGTTACATCCATTACATACATTCGTCACTAACTGCCCCACAGCGAACTGTGGGGCAGTTAGTGACGAGTATGGTGAAAGGTTTCACCAAGATATTTCAAAGATGGAAACATGGTACTAGGGCAAGAATGCTTGCAGACAATTGCTGCACACTGGCAAGAGATAATTCTTCAGCCCACTATAAGCGTCAACCAGAAAGGCAGAGAGTAGGTACGGATTAGAGTTTAAAACATACTGACACATATTGTACGTTATAATAAAGTAATCAGATATTACATGTCTCGTATCTTTAAACCTTTAACCAATAAGCATTTTTCAAGGTGATATTTGGATTCAGGATATGACCAGTGTAATCAAGGTCAGTAACTGTAGACAGTCACAAGTGTGCAGAACAGAGCTCTATATAAAATAGGACTCTGCGTGTTTTCAGCTTTACAAACAGTGTATACTTTGTATACACAGAGCGGTCGTCAGTTTACAGTCTCTACAAGTGTGCAAAGAACTGTAAGAGGTATCACGTTCATGCAGCCTTTTTTTACTGGAGGTGTTTTGCGAGCTCCATCATGGGAACAAATGTGAGTAGGTGAATGTTGAACATTCTTCTGGCACTTCTGACTGCAGCCGCTTCATTCGTGAATACTGAAGAATCACTTGGCTTCCGAATCCTAGCAGTAGCGAGAGTCCTGAGGTATCGGCCACGGAATACCTCTTTAAGTAGTACGAGGTCAGAAGCTCTTGTCCTGGGAAACTTCTGGCGACAAGCATCTTACTAACGCCGCTTCTCATTTGACCACGAGGCGAGAACAAGTGCACTTAAGTTATAACTTCGCACCCGTATTCAAAAATAACAGCAACGCAAATCTGAAGACTTTCCATTAAAATCAAATTTGAAGACCATTGGAAAAGCTCTAAGTTTAGTAGACTGGAAAAGACTGTCTGCCTTAGAGCTCCTCGTTTAACTGGATAAGCACCACTATTAAGGCCGCAACCAGCCACACCGCAGGAAAGGATAACAGAATGAAATGTGCCCATAATGTCTATAATAAGTATAATAAACAATGATATGTGAATACAAATTTTCTTAAATCCTCCAATAAATTCGTTAATTTCTATACTAAAGCTTCCGCTTCACACACGGAGGGCCCGGGTTCGATTCCCGGCGGGTGGAAACATTTCGACACGTTTCCTTACACCTGTTGTCCTGTTCACCTAGCAGCAAATAGGTACCTGGGTGTTAGTCGACTGGTGTGGGTCGCATCCTGGGGGACAAGATTAAGGACCCCAATGGAAATAAGTTAGACAGTCCTCGATGACGCACTGACTTTCTTGGGTTATCCTGGGTGGCTAACCCTCCGGGGTTAAAAATCCGAACGAAATCTTATCTTATCTTACTGTAGCGGCAGGTTTCAACATACGCCTTCAATTCTAACACCAGCTGAATTTGCTCCTAATGGTTTCTGGAGGTTTCTAGCGTTAAAATTGCTCACCATTTACTGCTCTCCATACTACATAATTCATGGTACAGAGCCCATCCATACTCAAGACGCAAGTGCGACTCGAGTATCTTTTTTCTCGAACTCTGACTCTGATGTCAGGTTTTTCAGATAAAAAATAATTATACTTAAGTCGAGTTTATATTAACAACGAAGAAGCAAACCAAAGAAAATGTGGAAGTATGTTGTTAAGAAAAGGTTCAAGCACAAGGCAATACAAGGAACACATACTACCTTGTCCATCTTCCTAAGGCAGACTTCAGGCTTGCTGGAGGCCAGAACGATGTAGGAGAGAGCGTCTACATCCAGGATAGGCGACCGCAGGTGCTCCAGCCATGTAAACAGCAAAGCTGAAACACACACATACTCAACATGCGTTCAACAGTCAGTAAATATCTAATGAATACATGAACATGAAGGGAGATTCGAAAAGCTATGAAATTTAGGATTTTTTCCTCTACTCAGTAATTTACATACATACAAACACACATAAACATATATACATACATAAATCATGTCTACAAATATATATACATACGCATATACATATCCTTCCTGACTGTCAAGATTATTGTACTGATTAAACTATTCATAGTCTGTTGCAGATTTAAGTTTGAAATATGGCCTGGCATTGGAAAACACTGTCAGTCCAATTTTGAGAAGCCTCTATATCGAAATTTTTGAAATAAAATTGCTTAAGGACATTTTACCCAGCATAACGAAATAATATGAGTATGCTGATGATGTACTTTGTCCGTGGTTAGTAAATCATAATCTAGATTAATTTTTAATTAGCTTAACTGGCATCATTCATAAACATGAATTATTAATGGTTACACCACCGAGTAAGACACTGGACACACTAGGGAACTTAGTCACGAAAAGTTTGCCTATAGCAAGCACTGAAGGCTTTACCAAATGAACAGAGGGATGAATTATAATCCTGGAGGAGGTATACAAAGTGGAGAGATAGTCTGTGGTAATCAGCCCCTCAAGTTGATGGCTGAAATCCAGGAGAGGAAGGAAAACTGCCTTTCTTAGATGCTTTGAGTCTTAGACTCGACATGGAAGGCTATCAACTTGTGGTCATATATTCACTGCTATTCCAAGCATGAACAGAAAGATAATAAAAAGACCGTGTTTTTGATCATGTCAAAGAGAGTTCTGAGAATATGTAGCCTTGACTATGAAATTAGTAAAATCTTTTATATTGCACTAAAATGAAGATACCTTTAAGATTTTGCTGAAAGAAACTTAATTTCAGACAAATATACATTTTATAAAACAGCACTTTAAAAAATTATGATGGCTTCACAATTATATAAAAATCTCTTAGTAACTTACGGCTTTTAGATGCTTATATATAAACGATATTGTGTGAATGTTTAACATTCAAACAATTCTTCCTTTCAATTAATGAGTTTTGTAAACAGAGAAAAACGCTACGATGTACTACTCGCTTCGTACTTCTCAAGAATAAAACGCCATTTTCAAAAATTTTAACTTGTATAGACAGTAGATGCACAATGGATGGGAGGAACGTCTCATTAATATTACATGCGATTCAGCCTGCCTGACAACTTACGTTTGAATGTAATATTCTCGTCCAAGTTCAAACAATCCGAATGTATTGGAGCAGACATTTTCATAACATGCGTTTACCTAATGCCTTGGTTTGTATATTTATATTTCTGAATAATAGTTATTATTTCTTCCAAGCATTCAGTTCCTGAGAAAGCCAAAGTTGCCGATGGTACTGGAGCTGTCTTTATATATATATATATATATATATATATATATATATATATATATATATATATATATATATATATATATATATATATATATATTCAAGCAGGAGGTTTACATCTTTTCATCTCATCCCCTGCATGCATCAGCCTACTAGAGAATTTTACAATGCTAGTAATTCGCAAGAACAGGCGAAATATTCACAAACACTGATCACTGACTGAAGGAGACCCCTTCAGCCGTATATCTTACCTACCTCTACGCAACTCGTCTAGTCACTAGATCAGCCCTAAAGAGAGTTAAAATATAAATGGCAACGCTCTTCTTGTCAAATAAGGCAAGCGAAAATTTGTGTATGCAATGATTTCGCCAAAACCATTTTGAACCTAACGAAAAAAAAATATTTCTTTGTATTTCTTTATTAGTAAATTATTGTAAACTTATCTAAAATATATTTAGGTGGAGTAGGCTAAATTAAATTGCGCTTGTTAATATAAGGTTAGGTAAATCTTCTAAGGTTCTTTTGGTACAAAATTATTAATTTTCGCATTAACATAGATGAAAAAATATATCTTTAAAAGTATAAGAGAAAATTTTAGAAAGTACTTAATTTTAAATCCGTTCTTGCTAATTGACTAATTTTATCTATACCGCACGATACACACACACACACACACACACACACACACACACACACACACACACACACACACACACACACACACACACACACACACACACACACATATATATATATATATATATATATATATATATATATATATATATATATATATATATATAATATTATATATATATATATATATATATATAATTTGTAGGATCGGCAGCTGAGTGGATAAGGTGACATGTACATTGTGTGGTCTCTTGAGGCGGGACAGTGTGTTGTGGGATCGACTCCTGGCCTGCCGCAGTTTGGTAAATGATTCAAAACCAATTATTTCGTGGGTTTATTGCTTTATTGCTTGTGGAGACGGGTATTCAAACAGGAGGATGAAATTAATCCTTCAGCATACCACTGCCACGAGTGTCCTCGAAATATGAAACAACCTTGTTCGTTAGGCTCATGTTGTTTGCATGATCGATATATATATTACAGTGAACTATATTTCATTTCTCGTTTCATGCTCAATTCAACATTGAGAATTTTCTTGTGAATTTTCACCTTGTGACACTCTTTAATCCCAGTCATGATGAAATTTTAATTGAACAATGCTTGAACGTAAAATCTCATGACTCACCTGTTAGCATAAAGAGGTTTGTCTCGGTCTTGAGTCGCTCCCAGGCTGACTGCTTCACGTTGAGATCGATGCGGTAGCTCTTCAGCTGCTTTTTGAACTCCACGTTGAGTAGCGAGTGATCAACTAGCAGCGCCTCGTACACCTCCTTCGGCATCATTACCTGCGGCCCCACGCACCTGTTATTGCTCACACCAGTGCTTATTGTATCACTACACACCTGAAGATGCTCGCTTATTGTCCAGCTACATTTCACAGTACTAAGTCGTGTGTTGAGTTAAATGCTAACACTTCTCTGGTATATATCGTCCCTTAGAAATAAACAAATCTAAACCTTCCAGGCTAGACTAGTCCCCTGAGCTACACCCTAATCTGCATGAGCCCTAGGGCTAATTCATACAAATCAACGATCATTTTGGGCAGTCACTGAGTACCTGAAGGGCCTCCTGGTCTGCCTGGCGTCGGAGATCGGATTGGGAGGCCAACTCCTGGTAGCATGAATTTTCCGTTATTGGTTGGTCGCGGATTCCATCATTCAACAGCGAGTCAATATTTCGCTCTGGCAGATCTGTAAGACATTAGGCACAAGTTATACACGAGGGCGCATCAGGAATACGGTATTCACGCATAAAACACGAAGAACATGCTCTCTCAAGGGCATGCAACACACCTAGATACCACCCCTACATTCCTCGGAGAAACTGACACTAGTGCTTCTCACTCTCTGAAATGCCGCATTAATGTATTTACGTCAGCCATACCGCTACAAAATGAATCCAGATATATAGATAAAAACAGGAGTTTGCATTTCCGTTCATGAGTTAATATCATGCCAAGCTTTGTGTCAAGGTATGGTGAAGACGACACACCCAACACTGTTTCAAACTGTGCTGAGTGTGACACCCAGCACTCTGTCAAGGTCACTACGCGACACACTTAGCAAGTGACACAAGAAACTCAACATGTACTGTGTCAGTGTGTTCGGAGCGGGTGACACATCTAAACACGACAAACTCAGCAGGTACTATATCAGTGTGTGCTGAGTACAACACAAGCATAGGTACAGCTAAGTACGACTCGAGCATCAATACTGTGCAGGCTACGATCACCAACTAAGCGAAGGGAACTACAGTGCTCAATTAAACTAGCAATCTCCGCTCAAAACTGAGCACGTAACGATGGGCCAAGTAGCGTCTGAAATATACAGATTAACGATGAAATTTCACATAAAATACAGAAAAAAGAGTTTGAATAAACTGTTCTACAGTAACTAGGGAAAAGCTGTATTCTACAAGTGCCGTGTATCTATGCATCTACTTGTGTCTTTGGAATAAACTGATTGAATCTAGATTTTTTTTTGTAATTTTGCTCGACTGACCGGAGAGGCAGGAGGGAACATCTGGGGTGGAAGAGTCCTCTTGGGCACGCTTCTTGGGGTACTGAGCGGAGGTGGGCACCGATACCTCCCCCATGGAGAACTCCTCCCCACCTGGGTACCCGGAATCGTCCTCAGATGGTATCCGCAACCCACCTGCGGGTGCACATCTGGTTAGTGCAGTGGTGTACAGGGGAAATCACTCGCATCCAACTGTGTGTGTGTGTGTGTGTGTGTGTGTGTGTGTGTGTGTGTGTGTGTGTGTGTGTGTGTGTGTTTGTGTGTGTTGCAGCCTCCAGTGGTCCAGCACATACTGCTCCTGATGTATCCCGCTCCAGTACTGCACCACGCTGTGTGTTACAGTGCTGGGAAGACATATATTGCCTTCTTCCCATATTCTTTTTTTTAGTTATTAGGTAGATAAGGCCTTAAGTTGTCCTTTTAATGATAAAAATAAGAATTCGCAATCAATATTTAAGCCTTTCGTAATTTTAAGTGTGTCTATAATGTATCTTATTTTTCTATCCCAGCCTTTGTATATGTCATCGCTGTCAGTTTTTGTAAGTCATATATATATATATATATATATATATATATATATATATATATATATATATATATATATATATATATATATATATATATATATATAAGCCACTTATCTATTTCACCTACATTAACATTCAGGTGACGCTACAATCTCGACACGTTCCAATTGTCTTTCACTATTCATACAGGTTTTTAGCATTTCTTAATATATAAATCTAAACTCCTTATTTACGTTTTACAGTATACGAGTATCATGGTATTTACGTCATCTTCCGGTGAAAACCTGTTTTCAATAATTACTCCCAGATTTCTTATTCTGCTTCAAGTTTTCAATGTCTTTCCGTCTAAATTCTTGGTGTGGTCTTTTCGCTTTCTCCCATTTTTATTATGTGACACTTACCTGCCTCAACTTTCATCAGTTATGTATTACTCTGTGCGCTCAGTTTAACTAGAATATTTTCTTGAGTTTGACAGTAAATTTGATTTTCCTTCTTGAACAAGAATTTTGCGTAATTTACGCAATTTTTCATATTGTTATTCATATCCTTTTGATAAATCATTTGCGTAATTAAAACAGATTTCACTGGTGACATTTCCCCAAGAGGAGACTTTTTTTTTTTTCTTAAAACTGTTTGCATCTTTTTCTGACAAGTCTCTTCTGCATTCCATCATCTTAATTGATAGTCTATCTATATTTTATCGCTTCCAAATTAGTCTTTCATGAGAAATTCTGAAAATATTTCTTGTTGAAGAATATGCAGTTTTCTTATCTGCTTCATTCTTGCTTAAGTTTACATAATTTCTGTGACTTTGAAGCTTCTTAAGAGATTCAGTACAGAGGATTTTGTTACTCAAAAGTCAAACGCTTTTGTATTTTTTTTTTTTTGTTTCACATGATTTACTGATTATAAATTTTTTTTTATTTTTCCACCAATATTTATCAGATAGATCTACTGATTTCAGGAGCTTAAAATTAATTTTCTAATAATGAGCACAATGTTTGTCACTATAAAATCTATCAACTAATTTACCATCCAGTAATTTAAAAAGATGCTTAATTGCGAAATATAATAATAATAATAATAATAATAATAATAATAATAATAATAATAATAATAATAATAATAATAATAATAATAATAATAATAATAATTAATAATAATAATAATAATATCTTCATTTCTACAAGGTATACAGGCCTAGCTGACATCAGTGACATACCGCTTGTTTTGCAGAGCATTTCATGCAAATTACGTCAATTTTGTCCAAGGCTGCGACCCACACCAGTCAACTAACACACTGGTATGTATTTTATACTGATGGGTGAACATGGACAGCAGGTGTCTTATGGAAACACGTCCTAATGTTTTCCAGCCGTACCGGGGATTCGAACTCCGGACCTCAGTGTGTGAAGATGCGCTGGCCATCGAGCTACGGGACACTTCAGGCGGTTCTGCAAGTTCCTTCAAACTCAACAGTGATTTACCATCTGGTTTAACTTTCTTAATAACTAAAGGTATTTTCTACTTCACTTTTGTATATTATGATTGTCACTGTTATTGTTTTTTTGTTATTGTAATTGATAATGGGTTTATTACAAATGTATTTGTTCTTTTGTTGTTGATAATAATGGTTATAGTGTCAAAGATCTGTCGTTACAGTTGGTGACGGTGTTATGTCTAATTTCTTGTTGTTAATGTTTTTATGTTAGTGCCATTATTGTTATTGTTGGTGGTGTTGGTGGTGATGGTGTTGGTGGTGATGGTGTTGATGGTGGTGATGGTGGTGATGGTGGTGTTGGTTGTGATGGTGGTGATGGTGGTTTTGGGTTGGTGTTGGTGGTGATGGTGTTGGTGGTGATGGTGGTGATGGTGGTGGTGTGGGTTGGTGGTGATGGTGTTGGTGGTGAGGGTGGTGGATGGTTGGTGGGGGTGGTGGGTGTTGGTGGTGATGGTGTTGGTGGTGATGGGGGTTGGTGGTGATGGTGGTGATGGTGGTGTTGGTTGTGATGGTGGTGATGGTGGTGTTGGTGGTGTTGGGGGTGAGGGGTGTTGGTGGTGATGGTGTTGGTGGTGATGGTGGTGATGGTGGTGTTGGTTGTGATGGTGTTGGTGGTGATGGTGTTGATGGTGGTGTGGTGGTGATGGTGTTGGTGGTGATGGTGTTGATGGTGGTGATGGTGGTGATGGTGGTGTTGGTGGTGATGGTGTTGGTGGTGATGGTGTTGATGGTGGTGATGGTGGTGATGGTGGTGTTGGTTGTGATGGTGGTGATGGTGGTGTTGGTGGTGTTGGTGGTGATGGTGTTGGTGGTGATGGTGGTGATGGTGGTGGTGGTGGTGTTGGTGGTGATGGTGTGGTGGTGATGGTGTTGGTGGTGATTGGTGGTGATGTGGTGTTGGTTGTGATGGTGTTGGTGGGTGTGGTGTTGATGGTGGTGTTGGTGGTGTTGGTGGTGTTGGTTGTGATGGTGGTGTGGTGGTGATGGTGTTGGTGGTGTGGTGTTGATGGTGGTGTTGGTGGTGTTGGTGGTGTTGGTTGTGATGGTGGTGTTGGTGGTGATGGTGGTGTGTGGTGGTGATGGTGTTGATGGTGGTGATGGTGGTGTGGTGGTGTTGGTTGTGATGGTGGTGATGGTGGTGTTGGTGGTGTTGTGGTGGTGATGGTGTTGGTGGTGATGGTGGTGATGGTGGTGGTGGTGGTGTTGGTGGGATGGTGTTGGTGGTGATGGTGTTGGTGGTGATGGTGTGATGGTGGTGTTGGTTGTGATGGTGTTGGTGGTGATGGTGGTGATGGTGGTGATGGTGGTGTTGGTGGTGATGGTGTTGGTGGTGATGGTGTTGATGGTGGTGATGGTGGTGATGGTGGTGTTGGTTGTGATGGTGTTGGTGGTGATGGTGTTGGTGGTGATGGTGTGATGGTGGTGTTGGTGGTGGATGGTGGTGTGGTTGTGATGGTGGTGATGGTGGTGTTGGTGGTGTTGGTGGTGATGGTGTTGGTGGTGAGGTGGTGATGGTGGTGATGGTGGTGTTGGTGGGTGGGTGAGTGGTGATGGTGGTGGTGTGGTGTGATGGTGGTGATGGTGGTGAAGGTGGTGTGGTTGGTGGTGGTGTGGGGTTTGGTGGTGTGGTGAGTGTTGTGCTGGTGGTGATGGTGGTGGATGTGGTGATGGTGTGTTGGTGGTGTTGGGTGGTGATGGTGGGTGGTGATGGTGGTTGGTGGTGGTGGTGGTGATGGTGTTGGTGGTGAGGTGTGGTGGTGATGGTGTTGATGGTGGTGATGGGTGTGATGTGGTGTTGGTTGTGATGGGTGGGTGGTGGTGTTGGTGTGTTGGTGGTGTGGTGTGGTGTGATTGGTGGTGATGGTGGTGATGGTGGTGTTGGTGGTGTTGGTGGTGATGGTGTTGGTGGTGATGGTGGTGTGGTGGTGGTGGGTGGTGTTGGTGGTGATGGTGTTGGTGGTGATGGGTTGGTGGTGATGGTGGTGTTGGTGGTGTTGGGTGGTTGATGGTGTTGGTGGTGATGGTGGTGTTGGTGGTGTTGGTGTGATGGGGTTGGGGGTGATGGTGGTGATGGTGGTGTTGGGGGTGATGGGGGTTTGGGTTTGGGGGGTGATGGGGTTTTGGGTGGTGGGGGGGGGTTGGTGGTTGGTGGTGATGGTGGTTTTTGGTGGTTGGGGGTGAGGGTGGTGTTGGGGTTTTGGGTGGTGATGGTGTTGGTGGTGATTTTTTGGGTGTTGGGGGGTTGGGGTGTTGGTGTGATGGTGGTGTGGGGGTTTGGGGGTTGAGGGTGGTGAGGGGTTTTGGTTGAGGTGGTGTTGGTGGGTGGTGGTGTTGGTGGGGGGTGGGTGGGGGTTGGGGTGGTTTTTGGTGGTTTTTGGGGTGTTGGTTTTGTGTTGGGGGTTGGGGTGGTGTTGGGGGGTTTTGGGTTGTTGTTGGTGGTGATGGGGTTGGGTGTTGGGTTGGGGGTGGTGGTGTTGTTGGGGGTGATGGGGGGTTGGGGGTTTTTTGGTGGTGTTGGTGGGGGTGGTTTGGGGGGTTGGTGGTGATGGTGGGTTGGGGTGATGGTGGGGGGTGGTGGTGATGGTGGTGTTGGGGGGTTTTTTGGTTTGTTGTAGGGTGTTTGGTGTGTTTTGTTGGTGGGATGGTGGTTTTGGTGGTGTTTTGGTGTTGGTTGTGTGGTGGGTTGGTTGTGATGGTTTTGGGTTTGTGAGGGTGGGGGGTTGGTGTTGGGTTGTGGGGGTGTTGGGGGTGAGGGTGGTGTTGGTGGTATTTGGGGGTAGGTGGTGGGTTGGTGGTGTTGGGGGATGGTTGTTGGTGGTGTGGTGGGTTTGGTGGGGGGGGGGTTTTGGGGGTGAGGGGGTGTTGGGGGTTGGTGGTGTGGGGTGATGGTAGTGTTGGTGGTGATGGTAGTGTTGGTGGTGATGGTGGTGTTGGTTGTGATGGTGTTGGTGGTGATGATGGTGATGGTGGTGTTGGTGGTGATGATGGTGATGATGGTGTTGGTTGTGATGGTGTTGGTGGTGTTGGTGGTGTTGGTTGTGATGGTGTTGGTGGTGATGGTGGTGTTGGGTGTTGGTTGGATGGTGTTGGTAGTGATGGTGGTGTTG